AATACTAGGCTAGATGCTAATTAAGGCACGACAAGGATTTGCATACATTCAGCAAATTTGGCAAACAAAACACACCTGACAAACCGACAATCTCGCTAACTCTCTTCCAAGCCTCATTTTTCCTATTAAAGTCTCTGTATGATTCTACAGAAGTATCATACAGAATGGGGTTTTCTGAGACTGCGAGGATAAGCTTCTCTCCCATGTTGCCGTGTACGATCATAATGAAATTTCCGTGCGACTGCCACTAGGGGGCGAATTCCGACAGTCGTGTCCGAATGTCGTGCGCAGTGGAAAGGCGGCTCACTGGACGCAACAAAGCGACCGTTGAAAATCATTTGTAATTTGTGTCAGCACGTCATAAATGTAATGCAGCAGCAGTTTACTGTCAGAGATTTGTCGTGTCACGCCGCGCCGCATCCAGTGTAGACAGCATCACTGATTATAATGAGTTCTATTGACTGATCTATATATAATTAATCTCTATTATAGGTCAGTGGTTCTATAGTATTTTGTCGCGCTGCTCGCATCCGGTGTAGACACGGTGTTAGGAATCGTTAGTTGTTTTCTCTTATAAGGATTGACGCTTCGGGCAACCCCCCCCGCCCCCGCCGATGTCATCGTCCATCGCGATGGTTCACTGTAGACATCGTCCGATGCCAAATTTGTAGATATCGCCCAACCCTAGACGGCACCCATTCACTGCAGAGCACAAGCTATTTGCCACTGCCAGGGCATTAACGTTTTTATAGAAAACATTTTATAGTTTGTTATAGAAAAACAAGTTACGCTCACAGTCCAGAGCCTCGATCATAACATTATAACAGGCACCTTAGAGACCTGCACTCTGTGGGACCCAACGCAGCAGAGTGCAGCGCGGGACAACACTTGATGGGCGAGTGCGGGTGGGTAAAGACTCGTGTGTGCGGGATGCGGGAGAATAAGGGTGTATCACACTAGGCAATCTTAACCGTGCCCGAGCGCGTGTCTCTGACATAGTGATAACACTCGTTGCCTTCTCTAGTGCAGCTCAACCAGGTCTCGTCCCGTTCGTCGATATTTGTGATATCACAAATCCCGGAAAATATGCGTTGTAGTCCAAACGAGTCGTTCGTTGTAGTTTTTGAAAAGTGATTTCTGTTAAATAAAATATCTCCTTTTGAAGTGGACTTTGAGCTTTGTAACTTTTTCAGATCTTTTTTATGCTCAAACAGCAACATTACAGACTAACTAAAGTTGAAAATGTGAAAAAGCATAATAGGACCCCTTTAAAAATAACAGTGAACAGTGGTTTGTGAATGTTGATGCTTAGCCTAAATAATTTGATCGGGAGCATTCATGTGAGCGCTGCTGTAGTCTTAGGCCCACCCCAAATTCTCTCATTGGTTGAGATGTGTGATGACACCCATCCCAAGCCAGCACTGATCAACATCCCACCCTCCTGTGACCCATGGTTTGTCTGTATGTTTATTCAGAGCCAGTGAGCAACAGACTTTCATAAAAATAAAAAACTGTGTTAATGCGCGATAAAATAATTGTCTGCATTAATCAATTAATGCGTTAATGCGATAATAACACGTTAATCTGCCCAGCCCTAATATAAACACGTACATCGAAATTGAAAAAGAAAAGATCTGAAAGAGTGAATTGAATGAAATCCAACAAATATTATATCTTGCTGTTCGGATAAGACACAGACCTCCCGAGTGCTGAGGTCTTTATCTCTTATGTCATATCCTGTTGTTGGCAACTCACCAGTCCTGGCTCTCGATCCAGGGGGCCAAGAACTGCCGCAGCTCCATAGGGAAGCTGTCACTGTACAGGTGATACAGCTGCTCCAGATACCGCGTCTCCAACTGCTGTAACTGATTCCACTGGGCCATGTTGACCTGCAGGATAGAGAGAGAGAACTAAGAACTCCTTTGACACGAGGAAGACAGACATAACTGGTCTTGTTCCTTCCTCAAACAGCTCAAAAGAAAGACGAACTTCAAAAGTGAAAGTACCTCAATGACCATTCAAAACAGACGTAAATAGCACAAATTAAGATCTGCAGTGTTAAATATTGCTTCTGTATGTAGTTAATTTCATGATTTAATAAATCTTCACTAGCAACCCGGCCTTATCAACAAAACAGACAAACATCAGCAATGTCAAGGAAGTGTAAGGTGCATGTCACCAGCGTGTCGGGGCCACAGAAATCAGTGGCTGTTGATCATAAAGCAGCGAGAGCATCCGTTCAAAGAGGAAAACCTCAAAAGCCCATGGACGCCGTTTTGCTCTACATTACCTCAAAATGCTGTGGAACACACACTCGCAGTTCACCACATCCACACACACAGGTTTGTGCTGCTGACAAACTGAATAAAAAAGACCAGTGCTGGGCTGGCACACAACACTTTTTCTTTACTCACTCAGGTTTGCACACTGAAGGATAGAGAGAAAAGGGAAATGCGTCCTCAAGTCCGAGTGAAAAAAGACCTTGTGCACGAAACTGCTTTTCTTTATTTCACTTCTCTAAACTCATCCAAATACGGAGCTGCAATCTGTAAATTAGCCAGATGAGAACTGTAAAACCTTTTCCCAATAAAAATGTAAAACATTCATAAAAATATATAAGAATATCATAAATAAACAAACAAATAGGCCTATATAATTATTTAATTAACAAATTGATAGATAATTTACACATTTTTGGCAGATAACCTTTCAACCAAAAATGATTAACAAGGCTTCATCATAAAGGAAATAAAGCAAACTTACATTGTTGTCCACAAAACGAACTGCAACTGGACTCGCCATGTCTACCTGCTGCGTGAACAGTGGGCAAGTGAACTACTTTATTCATGCACAGGTAGAAATATAAGAGTATGAGGTGGAGGGTTGGACACATAGATAAGTATGCAAGACACGTCAACAGCACTGTCGTCAACATTGGTTATTGGTGTATAATAGACTAGTTTGTGCAATTAATGTACATCAAATAATCCATTGTATATACAGTACAGTTCACTAGATATAGTTCATTTTGGCTGGATAGACCTTAATGCTTTACCTTTTCTAGGTTACCTGTTGCATTTATGACCACTATAAATTCATTTTACAATTCAATGTACAATCAATAAACTATCAAGCACAAAGTACAAAACAATAAACTGCTGTTTATCGCTAGCGAATCTTTGTATTTCACTAGTCTCCCAGCTAATCAGGTGACCTTTTAGCCTACATAGCCTCGTTGGCTATGATTCTGGTAAATTAGACGCGATTGAGTTCAAGCAAAAACAACAAAAAACAAAATGGATGGAATAAATCAAGAACACCACAACAAAACACAATAAAACCCAATAATAAACCAGACACGAATAAATACGACATGAGCAGGTTTTTTGACTCTTAGTGCCTGAGCTATTTCTGTGGACAAATGTATTTAAACTAGTCACTTTGTCGCATCCAGTGTAGACAGCCTCAAGTTTTTCCAACACGGCACAATGCTGTGTAACCATGGTGTAAGGTTTTGCACACTATACACAGCATATTATGTAATATATTAACAATGTTCGAACCATAAAGTAATAGATCAATAAGAGAATTAATGAAATTAGATGAATGTAGGGGGTCGCATGTCCTAAAATTGAACTACAGCATTGATCACAGAACAATTAACGATATGACATACCTCCATCAAGTACATGTTGGTTAGACAAGAGACTAGACTTGTGCCGGTATTCGGTAATGCGATATATCACGGTAATTAATATGCACGATATTGTTATTGTGGGCACTTCTAATTACCGTGAAAAATAATATATGACAAATTATTCAGAATTTTGAATGCATTTTAAAAAGCATTAGCAATTAATCGCAACATGAAAATTTGAAACCGGCATATCCCTACAAGAGACAAAACTGACCAGAACCAAACTTGGTCTGGAGTTTGCTATAAGACCATCAGATGACATCACTGGCTAATTGACAGGACTCACGCTTGTCCTTCCAGGTCATTTCTGAGCTGCCGCTGAAAAGTTAGCATTCATTCATACTGTACATCCGTTTTAACATTAAATAAACATAAACATTTAGTTTCTGTATTGTATTCTATATTGTTATTGCAAAATCTGCTGATTTGTCACCTAGATTATTTTATCTATAGTTGTCTTCCATAGATGAGGTTTGATTCAGACGAATTAGCAAAATGACTTGACAGTGATAGCTACGAGATCTTCTTTAAATACCTTAAAAAGTATTTTATAAATAAAATATTTTAATATTAATGTGGGTCTATGAACTCATGGACTTACATAAATGCTGTAAATCTGTAACTTTAAACACCACTGATCAATCTACTTTAAAACCAAAGCTGAATAGACAAACAAAGCAGTTCAATCAAATCTAAGGGGAAAGGAAGTCTCTGTTACACAACTCAAATATCACATGTTACATAAATGCAACAAGAACGGTTTTGAAGTCATCCCTGTTTTTTTTTTCAGGAACACTGCATAATTGATGACACATTATCTTGGATCATATTGCCAAGAACGTCATGTGTAGAGGAGGAAACCACAAAGCTTATGATCTATGTGCTCCCTGTGGGAAGATTTGGTTGTCTCCCACCACCTGGCATCCGTTCTCAATTTACAGCATGTCGATGCTCCCAAGAATAACAAAAAAACAAAACAATTCCCAGGAATATGAATGATAATATAAAGCCTCACATAAATTTCTCCTATAAAGCCTTTAGATTAGTACTCATTCACAACACTCTTAGTTCCTGTATCTGTTCTCACACTGCAACCTAAATGTCTGCTGATCATTTACACAACTTGAGAGAGGCTCGAAACAATACCCTGGCACTCAGTGTCGGTTAGCTTTCCTTCCTTCACATGCTGAGTAACCAGAAGCACTTCTCAGAGCTGGTGTGACTTAAATGATGTTGGCTGAGTTCGTGGCTCAAAGTGCAGAGAGAAAAATCTCACAGACACAGAGGATGAGTCATAATGAGCTGAAAACCAGCAAGCACTTCAGGCTGGAAGAAGTTCTGTCAGAAATATCCAGCAGCCTCCGCGGAAAGCTGAAGGAGAACAATAGGCTGAGATGGGAGGGATTCGGGGAAAGCTTGGAGGAAGTTTATATTTCAGCTCTCAAATTAGTTACCATAAACGAGGGAGTATGCAAACTACCCTAAAACCGCAAAAGGTGCACTGGTGTCCAAACATGGAGGTCAATACGCTGTGGTCTAAGAGGCGTATAGGTTAGATGTATTAAAGTGAAAGTTCATTTCTATAGAAAACAACTTCCTGTTATTTGAAACATCTTCCTGGTCAACCTCTTTGGCAAAATTGGCTACGCTAGGATTTTGTGAGAATTTAGACTCCAACAGTCTTCAAAACAAAAGTTCTTTATTGGCAATGATGATTCCATGAAGAACTTTTAAAGGGATAGTTCACCCAAAAATGAAAATTTGCTGTAAATTTACTCACCCTCAGGCCATGCAAGATGTAGATAATTTTTTTTTTGTTGAGTATAACAATAAAGAAGATTTTTAGCTGAAACCGTGGTCCTTGGTGATTCATAAAATTCAAGTCAGCGGCTCCTGATGATATATTGAGGTCTTAGGAAAAGATCAGTCTGAGCTGAAGAAACTGAACATTATTTACAACATTGTTACCTGTAATCTATAGCCTAAAGCAAATAGGGAAATGAGATTATATTACTGATTCTTTCGGACAGCTCATTTCAATGAACTGGCTCAATTCACTAGTTTGTTTACATAATCACACAATGACGTAACATATACGCATCTTAAATGGCCTGAGGCTGAGTAAATTTATAGCAAATTTTCATTTTTGGGTGAACTACCCCTTTTACATGGAATCTTTCCATTGCACAGAAGGTTCTTTTCAGTGGAAAGGTTCTTTAGATTAGTAAAAATGTAAAAATGTTGATATGTTCAATGAAAGGTTCTTTGGGGAACCACAAATGTTTTTTTTCTATGACATTGCCCCCTTTTTTAAGAGTATTAGAGTGCTGCAGAGGTGATGTATTTTTGTAGGCCAAACCCTGGATACGAGTTCGCATTTTAGCACTTGCGGTTCCATCATCACGAAGTCAGTGGGTTTTTGAATGGGTTCAAAGCTCAAGATATTTTCACATTTTATTCTATGCCGTGAAATGCATCAGTAATGCCCCTTTGGGATTTTTTTAAAGCTGTTACTTGTCTTGAAAAAGGCGGTTGCTAACAAGTGGCTAAATGGGACTACAGAGGTTTTTGGGGACATGAACTATCCTCACACCGAACAAATAAACTCATCAACTCACTACTCCGCTTTCACAGCCTCGTTGTGTTTCTAATAGGGCTCTTGCAAACTATTCCAATTGAGCTGTTGGAAGCTTAACGTTGGTGTAGTTCAAAGGATGTGACGCTCACAGATGAGGCCAATGTTCACTCTGAGATAAAAGGCCCAGGCCTGGCTGTGACCTTAGCCTCCTTTTCATTTCCGTGAAGACTGCAGAAGAAGAGAGCTGTGTTCTGATCTGTCATTCTCTGTCTTTAACAATGTCTCTCACCTCCTACCCGTCTCCTACGGCACAATCATTCACAAGATACAAGTGGAAAGAGAGGCACAGTGTAGTTAAGTGGCATTTCCTGCGGTTTCTGCTACTTGACACTGATCTTCTGTTATTCCGATAAATTCTGGAATTAACCGTAACACTAGCACAGGATCATATTCAAAATAGTGAAAGGAAGATAAGCAATTGTGATTTACATAGATGGTTATTTACAAATACTTCTTATTCCACAGAGTAAGCCTTATTTCCATCAGACAGGACAAAGCCACTTGTACTGGGAGTAGACTTTTGGTAAATAACCTAAAGTTTACTTCAGTTTTGA